CTTTCTAATATATATTTTATTTATTTATTGTGCATATTGCGTATGGTCCTCTGATAGGCGGTAAGCTCTACGAAGTTAGGAAATTTTGCTTCCTTTGTTTACATAAATTATCCACCCAAACCTAGAACAGTGATTAATTCACAGTAGACTGGGCCATTTTTTCCTTTCCCACTTTTCATCTTTACCTGTATGCAAGAACTTGTTAACCATTCTTGCTTTTTTAATTCTTGGGAAAACACTAAGTTAGGGCCTATATCTGAGCCAAATTAACATTAAAATAGTATTTAAATTTACTGTGAAATTATGTTTAAAAAATTAGGGTCATATGTATCATATAAAAAACTTCCAGCCACAATAAAAAGTGATGAAAAGACAGGTAAAATAAACTGTGCAATGTGAAGGATACAATGATGATAATGATAGAAGATCAGTACTTAAGTGCCAGCTCACTTTCTATGATGTTTTAGGGGTTGATTGTCAGGCACAGATGAAACACAGGAATTAGAGTACTTTGAAGCAGTAGTTCTCAAACCATATGGATTTCAAAAACCAGTTAAATTAAAAAGAAAAGTTGAAATGACAGAGTTGCCAAATTCTAGTTTTGCAGCAAAGGGACATTACAAATGAAATACAATCTACTAATATTATAATTCATAATACATTAACATAGAAAAGACATAATTTCAGTATAAAGGTTAGTCATTTTTATTAAGCAAATTTAGATTCACAAACACCTCATTACTTAAAAATAGTTCTATGTAGATTTAAGATCTAAATGTGAAAAAGTAAAAATTTTAAAATAAGCTGTAGCAGAATCCATAACCTCCGGATAGAAAAGACTTCCTTTAAAGAGAAAAAGCACAATCATAAAAGAATAAATTTGACATTAAAATTAAGAACACCTAGTTATCAAAAGGCACCATACTTAAAGCGAAAATGCATGCTCAAGACTAGAAAGATATTTGTGAAGCCTACCAAGTATTTTTACCAGAATATATAAAAAGCATTCACAAATCAGTAAGATAAATAATCCCATTAAAAAAACACACAAGTTTAAGTAATGCACAAAAAAGGAACGTGATTGGCTAACAATAAATAAAAGTGTTCTCAATTACAGGGCTAATAGGGGAGATGCAAATGAAAACTACAATGAGGTACCATTTCATACTCAAAATGGAGAAACTTAAGAAGTCTGAAGTATTTGGAAGGTGGGAAAACAGACCTCATTCATTACTGAGACAAACACTTTGGAGAGAAAACTAGTAGTTATCTAATAAAGTTAAGGACGCAGCATCTATCCTGTGTTCTAGCAATCTACTACTAGATTTGTATCCCAGGGCAATCTTCCTCAGTGTTGGCATTTAGTTGCTGTAATGAATAGGGGGCACTACTGAACAGATGCCAGGGGTGCCAAGCACTCTTGGTGTGTAGAGATACTGCTGCCCCATGGCCCATGTCTTTTGAACATTCTGCTGAACACGAAGGTCAGATATTTATAAACAGGACTTAACACAAAGTATATTTGTGTTGTTTTAATATAGACTAAGATTTTAAAGAATGCAACCACTGTTTAAAGAGATAAGCCTGCACTTTTATTTTATTTTTGTTCAAACTTTACTGAAAATAGTTTGTTAATTCAGAAACTTACTTATCACCAACAGTACCATCACTGGTGTTTGAATGGCCAATTCAACACACCTGTTTTAATCTGCATTAGTAGCTGTCCTGTTCCTGGTGATACTACCCATTGGTGCAATGTAGCTGACAACTACTATTTCTCCTAGCAGTGCTTCTTAGACTTTAATGTGCACACAAATCACCTGGGAATTTGGTTAAAATTCAACACCCAAGTTAGTAGGGTAGGGCCTGAGCTTCTGATTTCTAACAAGCTCCCAGAATTCTGATATTACTGTTCTACTATCAAACTTGGTAGAAAAGATTTAGAGTGTGGTTGAGTCTCAGCATTTACACAGCAAAATATATTACTTTGTGATAAATTACCTCTTATATTTTAGTAAGGGCATTACTTTCTTTAAAATATGAATGTTTATTATTATTAATTTCATTTTAGGACATTATTGGGGAAGTTGCAAAACATTTCTATAAAAATGAAATATAGGGTCAAGAACCACTGCCCTAAGTAAACATATACAAGAATATTCCCTACAGTATTTTTTAATAAGCAAACAACTGGAAACAACTAAAATGACCAACAGAAACTTGATATAGTCACATAATAGAACACATACCATACTGCAGTAAAAATAAAGAAACTAGAACTACCTGAATAAACACAGATAAATCTTGGCAAACTGAGTGAAGAAAGCAAGCTAGAGATACAAACATCATATTTAAATAGTCTTAAAACAAAGAAAAACTATGTGTTCATGGATATAAAGGTAGGTAATAAAGTATAAACATGGGTAGGAAGGATGCATGTCAGTTTTGGGTCAGTGGTGGGGAATGGAGAAAAGGGTGTAGGATTTAAGAGGTGTATGTAAAGTACAATAAGAAGCTTCACTTTGTTTCTTCAAATTGGTAATAGGTGAATGGATAGTACTATGTTGCCAATACTTATATTGCTATATTATTTCCAATTTCACCTAAACTGGCAAAAAATGTTGGGTCTATCCAGGTGTTTGAAAAAAACTGCTCCAGAGGAAAGGATTTAGGACTAGATGTCAGAAAACTCAGCCTCAAGTCTCAATTCTGCATCTTACAAATTGTGTAGCTTTAGGCAATTCAAATAATTAAGTTCTCTTGGCTTTATTTCATTTGTATAAGACATCGCTATCCCATTCCAACTCACAAAGCTGGGTTTGAGAGGCATAATGGGCAAGGTATGTGAAAATTTTTTCACAGGGTAGGAAAGGCAGGCGTAATTTTTGAGCAGTAAGCAAATTCTTGAATATATTAGAAATAAAATCTATCAGTAAATAAACTAACCATGTTGATTTGTCACTCTCTTTTCTTGTCATCACTGATTCTAAAGATATAATACCAATCTTAACATGGAAGAAACTTTGAGTCTATCAATTCCTAAATGGCATAGAGGTAGGTATCCTCCCTATTATAACCGTTCCTTTATGCTAATTCTTCACTAAGAAATTAAAATTCATAATACCAAAACAAGAGAAACGTACTAAAAAGTACTCTTTTTAAAACAGTCAATGTCACATCCAGAGTGAGTGTTGATTCTCACTGTCCTTTCTATAAAGTGAGCAGGTGGGCACATTTTATTAGCCCTATATTACATAAAGATGAAGAAACTGACTCAGATGTGGCTGGCCTGGAGCTGTAGATCAATTCAGCGACAGAACTTGAAATAGACACCAGTTGCCCAGTTCTTGTGTGTCAATTAAGCAACCAAAAACATTATTTTGTCATGATGCTTTATGGTAATTTGTCACAGGGATACAGAAAATTCTTTGTCAGATGCCATTTCATACACATTTCAAAATGGGCAAAAATACTCAATAAAACAAGCCACTTATCTACTATAGTGCCATACAGCAAGGGACAAAATTAAAAACTGCCTAGCCTGCTAAAAATCTAATCCCATCCTTGCCAATTAACCTTATTAATACTAGAGGAGGAGAAAAGAGAGGTCAAAATATGGATGAGGGTGCTATTCATTTCCTCCTGGATCTAAAAAAATATAGCAATTATTAAACAACAGGGATTTTATATTTTTTATTAGTGGAAACACGGTTATCTCCACTGTTCTTCAAGCAACCCACCATCCTCACTCCCAAAATAGAAATTTACCAACAAGCAGAGAGTCCCACAGTACCAAATTAGAACACTGCCAATTATGATAATTATCAAAACATTGGTAATTATTAGATATCAGATATATCACCCAAGTGAGTTTATGCTATAAACATATGAAGAGACAAACACTTTATGGAGAAAAGTTTATTATTTTAAGACTCCCTGTGAATGTAAACAGATGAATGCTATTTACAACACGTGCCTGACTTTTACTCAGACCCATTAGGTAGTTTCAGACATTTGCTGACACCAGATATCCAAAATTCATTTTATTAATTGAGCCTTAAAAAAAAATCAATGAATCATGTTGCGGATCAAGTATTACATATTACAGAAAGTATTAAACAGTAACACCTTGTCAAAAACAGCGAAAATTTAAAGGTCATCCTCTCTGTATTCCGTTATTCATCCTTTTGCTTAACAAATCCACCTCACACTGACATACATCAAAGCATCATTAAAAAAAACACCACCACCAACCTCCCGCACTGCCAGAAATTTTACCATGGGTCACCACGAACATATTTTTAAACAAGAAGCTGGGTTAAACTCTCTTTACCAAAGCCCTTCACAGCAATACAATCTAACTTAAAACAACTTTCGTTTCAGGATTAAAAAGAAACACCCAAACATAAGCTCCAATTTTCCGATTCAAAATTCCTGACCGGTCTCCCCCAGAGTTCGAAAGTAGGTAAGATCACAGTTCACCCACCTAGAGGAGAAGAACCCCACGGCCCGGCCCGACCGGAATACCCAAATCGCGAAGCACCCGGCAGAGTCGGTCTCAGATCGAGGCTGACACACGAGGGCATTCGGGAGAAAGCTTTCAGGCACCGCGAATCTCACAGTGAACCTGACCTCATCCTCCGGTCCACAGGGAGAAAAGCAAAGGAAGTGAAACGAGACCATTCTCGGCAAGGAGGGGACCGAAGACCTTTCCCAATCCGTCAGTCAGTCTCTCCCACGTCCCCAGATTCCCCCAGCCTCGCCGACCACAGGGACCCTGCTCTACCTTTCCCTTTCGCGAAATCACTGGAGAATCCCCTCCAAAATCGGGAGGGGCTTCCCCGCCTTCGAGTGGGATCCAGGTCTCCCAACAACAAAGACGCCTCCCGCTCCCCTCCCCCAGCCCGGCCGCGTCTCGTCCCGCCCGCGCTGCGGCTCCGGGCCTAGCGCCCCCTCCCCAAGCCCGTCGCAGTGTCCCAGCCCCCCGCGGCCTCACGCACCTGCACCTGAGGGGCCGCAGCCAAGGTGTCTGGCAGAAAGGGCTGGGAGGGGGCCTCTGCCGACGCACTGTCCTCCACAAGGCGCGATCCGCGATGCCGCCGCTGCCGGACTCTCCCGACCAGCGGGCGGGCCCGGCCGAGAAGGAGGGACGAGGGCTGCTGTCCCCGGCGACGGGACGAAGAAAGACGGCAGCGCCCGAGAGGGCCCACTCGCGCTCCCGAGACTCGCCTCCTCGCGCTGGCCCTGCTTCTCCCCACGGGCTTGCGTTCTGCTGACTAACGGCCTCGGCGAGAGGCGCTGGAGCTGGAGCTGCCGCGGCCGGTGGCTCTCTGGCCTCAGGTCCCGAGCGGCCGTGGTCGCAGCTGCTGCCGCCGCCGCCGCCACCAGCTCCACCAGCACCGCCGCCCTTTCTGGCACTGCAGACGCCACCCAGACCCAGCCAGGTGTTTCTTCTCTTGAATCCTCTTTTCTCGCTCCCTTTCAGCCGAAGCCGCTGGGCTCGCCCTCGTGGCGGGAGGGAGGCTGGAAGGGACGCGAGGGGGACCAGCAGCAGATTTCCGAAGCCAGGAGTTGGTCACTGACTGGATCAAGATGCCAAAGCTGCCCCGGGCTCCAGCCTGCTAGCAGGCAGGAGGAGGGACGCAGCCCAGTTTAGCCCGACTTTCACCAATCACAAGCCTCCCAGTGGAGTCGGGCGCCAGGAGAGGCTGAGCTGAGTCGGCAGGAGGCGGGGATTGCGGAAAAGGAGGGCCAATAGAAATAAAAACTCCCCGCCCCTTCGCCTTGACGGACTGCCACGTTCGGACCAATAGGGGAATTCTCGCTTCGAAGAAAGCGGGGTTTCTTGGCGGAGTTTGAGACAGAAGTTGAGCCGAGGGATTGAGTCTACGCCGCGTGGAAGAACCTTGAAGTTGCGGAGGCACCGAGGGTGGCCTTTGACCTCCGCTCGGAGTCACGTGGGCTGGCGGGGGCGGGGCGGAAAAAGCTAGACAGTTCCTTCCGGGTCAGTGACCGAGGCATCTGCTCGCCGAGGCGGTTTCTGGCGTCTTGGTCTGTCCTGCATCTTCCTCGTCCCGGCGCGTGGAGGTTGTGATTTCGGCGATGAGTTCCCAGAGAGGGAACGTGGCCCGTTCCAGGCCGCAGAGGCATCAAAATACGTTTAGCTTCAAAAATGACAAGTTTGATAAGAGTGTTCAGACCAAGGTAGGAACCTGCTTGTTGCGCAAAAGCTGACTCCGGGAAGGAATGGTTCAGTGGAGGGGAAAGAGGAATTGAGAGGAGCTGGCAAGGGTGAGTGTGGACCGCAGCCCAGAGTTAGTTTTGGCTGCAGTGCAACCCTTTGTAGCGTGATATTCCCACACCCTTTCTTTGACCTGGATGTGTTGTCTGCTCGTAAATGTATTTGGCAGTCAACACTTAACTAATTGCACGAAGAGAGAATGGGTCCCCCATCAAACTTGAAATGCAGATGGGTAAATTGAGTTGTTGAACGCTTCCATCTGGATCACATATTTACAGTAGGAAAACGAGGATTATGGCAGGAGTGTCTCTAACATTTTGTGCCAACTTTATGTAGCAACTATTTCTTTTTGGAAAACCTCAAGTCCATATGTTTGTAGGGAGGATGTGAAAGATTAAGCGCTCTTGGCCCCAGTGCCCTCACCAACATAATGGGTGTATGTCTCTTTTGTAAAGATTGTTTTGAGGATCAGATGTTTGATTAATGTAAAAATGATTGTTTTGCTTTTTATAACTCATTTACTTCTTTAGTAGGATTTCTGTAAGCTGGAAGAAAATTCAGACTATCTGCATAGCCACAAGTTTCGGGTTGTATAAAACTACAAATTTGCTGTAGGTGTCTCCCCCTCCAACTTCTCCATAGCTGTATGGAGAGGAGATAATTGAACACAAGGGCATCTTGGGGGCCACCATCAAGATTATGATAGTCACATAATCTGGAGTTCAAATTTACTAGGTGTGTGGCTTAAGTGAATTATTTAATATTTCTTTTCTTTGAGCCTTACTTTAGTTTCAAATGAGAAACCTGGCAGGATTGTTGTGAGGCTAAATTAAATGATATATATAAAAGGTCTGGATCATAAGTGTCCAACAAGTGATAATTTCTCAACATTAATTTTTCAACGTTCAACTTAATGTTAAAAGCAAACTGATTATGGCAACTTGTGGGCCTCTTTTTCTCTCCTCTTTCTGTCTTCACTAATTCTACAAATTTTAATGAGCACATTTCATGTGCAAGGCCCTGTGCTCAAGTGCATACAATGTTAAAAAGTGTTGACTTTGCCTTGAAGGAGCTTATAGTTTCCTGGGCCATTGGACAATAAGCAAGCACAAAGATATATAGTTATGAATTATAATAAATTCTGATGCCGGGAAAAACAGTTCAGTAAAGAAGAGTAAAGAGGGATATTTTCAATTAGATGCTGAGGGGACCTCTTCTTTCCCTTAGGTTCAGATTCAGATAAAAAACTGCAGCAACATTTGGGAAGACTTTCTCAAGTTTGTGTCTGTTATCATTAAGTAAACCTGAATAAAAAGCTGTGCTATTCCCAATAGATGTCTGTCTGTCTGGTTCTGTATTCTTACTGTAAGTTTTGGCATAAGCAATTAATTATGATTTTTTTCATCAGATGAGAAAAAGCAGTTTTAATAAATATTTAGCTACAGTGTACCTTACTGTATTTCTTGTACCTATAAATACAAGACTTCTTGAGGTTCTACTTCTTGTGCTAGTAGTTCTTTGTAGACTTCTTGTACTTTTCATTGTCCATTTTCTTGGTGTTATCTAATAGCCATGTCATTATGGTCTTAAATCTTTTCATGTGTCTCAAGTTAAGTCATTAAGTTTTATTTTGTTTATCACTTTTATTATTCTTTCCTTTGCTTTTTTTAAATTGTGAGTAAGCCTCCTGGCTGGAGTGGCTCATTTGGTTGTGTGTCTTCCCTTGCACCAGAAGGTTGCTGGTTTGATTCCTGATCAGGGCACATGCCCGGGTTGTGGTCTAGATCCCCGGTTGGGGGTGTGGAGGAGGCAGCCTATCGATGTTTCTCTTGCTCTCCCTCTCTTTCTGAAAATCAATGAAAATATTTAAAAATTTAAAATAAGTTGTGAGGAAGCCTCCTTTGTCCATTGGTAGAAACACCAGGTGTTTTGTTATTGGAGATACTGACAAAAACAGCAAGAAATATTTTACTGAGGAAAGATCATTAGGTTGATTGTTCAGCTGTCTAATGGAGGACTAATAATTGGCTGCATTTATAGCAAATTCTTTTTTTTTTTTTTTAAATATCTTTATTGATTTCAGAGAGAAGAAAGGAGAGGAAGAGAGAAAGAGAAACATCAATGATGAAAGAGTCACTGATCGAGCCCACAACCAGGGCATGTGCCCTGACCAGGAATCGAACGGTGGTCGCCTGGATCTTAGGTCGACGCTCAGCCGCTGAGCCATGCCCGGCTGGGCTCTTTCTTTTTTTAATCCTCACCTGAGGATATTTTTCCCATTGCTTTACAGAGAAGGTGGGAGGGAGGGGGGGAGAGAGAGAGAGAGAAACATTGATGTGAGAGAGACACTGATTGGCTGCCTCCCACATGCAGCCAGAGCGTGTGGGATCAAGCCTGCAACCGAGGCACATGCCCTTGCCCGAAGTCAAACCTGGGACCCTTAAGGTCGAGGGCCGACGCTCCAACCACTGAGCAAACCAGCTAGGGCTATAGCAAATTCTTGAGCCAGCTAGATACCACTGTCCGAAGCCAAAATTTTGTCAGAAGCACCTGACCCTGTCTTCATTTCTATGCTTTACTTTAGAAAGCTGTTTGATTCAGTGACATCTGACAAAGGAGTGCTAGGACGTGCATGATTCTCTGTGTAACTCTCTTTAAAGGATTGTGGCAACAACTGACTACTTGTACCTCAGGATTTTATAGGAGTCCTGCATTAGTTCTCCATCTCTGCCAAGCAGTTTGTCAGGACTTCACTGAAGTTGGAAGATGGATAATGACAGATGTTTTATTGGGAAATTTATATAGGTAAAGCACCTATTCCCAAAAGGACAGTAGTGATAGCTGTCTTCATATACTTGGAATATTTTCTGGGAGAGTAGAGAAACTTGTTCTGTGGCATTCTAAGTGACCAAAATTGAACCAAGGGTCAAACTAACAGGGTTAGGTTTTAGCTTAATATAAGGGAGTTGCCTAATAGTGAGGAGTGTGCACCAGGATTTTTAAATGTCCCCTTTACTGAGGTTATTTAAAAGAGATTATTTGAAGAGGTAGAAATAGGATTAAATCTCTTCTAGTCCTTTGTACTAAAATGTAGATATCATTAACCCTTTGCAGTCGTTTGTCTACTCTCAGCCACCACAGCAAGGAACCGTACGAATCTTAACTCTATTTATTCATGTATCAGTTCATAAACCTTGTTTATCCTTCATAATCTTGCATGTTATGTATCACTGCTCTTTCAATGGAAATTTATTCCGACCAGAACGACACCCGTGTCCAAATTTAATACGACCGCAAAGGGTTAAGACAGCATGGTGACTTACTGGAAAGTGCTATGTGATGAGAACACTGGATTAAGAAAAAAGAGCCACCTTTTAGTCCCAATTTCTACATTTATCTTGCTGTGCGATGTTAGGTAGTTTACCTATAGCTTTCAACCTACAATATGGGATTAATACTATCTCTTAATTTTCTCTCAAGATTGCCATGGGGTTCATTGCAAAAGTATTTTAAGAAATAGTGATACAAATATGAACCAAACATAAAACATATGATATAATTAGTGGACTTGCGGTTGATCTAAGCCTAAAAAAATTTAGAAAAGAAATGCATACTTGTTGAAGGATATTGAAATAATAGAGAAATGAATGAAGTATAAAAGTGAAAGTACTCTTCCCCAGCCCTATTTCTCTTCAGGTACAGTCACTGTTAACGATTAGATATGTATGTTTTTAGACATCTGTGTAAAATATAGTACATACAGGGGTGGGCAAAAGTAGGTTTACAGTTGTTTGTATGGAAAATAATGCAATAATTAATAGATAATAATACAAAAATAAGCCGTTTCATGTACTCACAACTGGGAACCTACTTTTGCCCAACCCTTTATGTAATAAGATTCATTTTTTTCTTTCTCATTTAGTAAAGTGGGTATGTCAGAACATAGAGATTAAGCTCATTCTTTTTAATGGCTATATAATATTCTATAATGTAAGTGTGGAGTAACTTACTTTCCTATCGATAGTTTTTCACTATGACAGATAAAGCTGCAGTGAAATTTGTATTCGCATATTTGTTCCACATCTGTTGTCAAACATTGTTTATCTACCTAGGGGTATAGAGTTGAGCATTATATATGGGCATGGCTTTAATTGAAGCCTACAGTTTGGTGGGCAAGGTGACAGGCAAATAATCTTTTAAGTATGTTAATGTAAGTGGCAGTAAGGGCTGTGAAGGAAAAGTCTAAGGAGACCCTGAGAGTAACAGGAAGACTTGGTTAAGTTTCAGGGGTCAAAAAGGCTTTCCTGAGATCCGAAGGACGGATAGCATTTAACTAAATAATTTAACTAAATGGGAAGAACATATATCATCCTCTGAAGGATGTTATTTGTTTTGTATGTGTTGTCAGCATTGTTTTTACTAGCATTCCTGAAATGTTAGAGCCCCATGATCACATGATCTTCTCCATAGAACAGGAGTCAATTTCATGGTCCAATTATTTTGGAAATACTGTATACTCGATTTCACTTTTAGGAGTCATAGTGTACATTAGCATAATGCACGGAGATGTTTTGCAGTTTAAAAAAGTTAGGTAAACCAAAACTTGCTTGGCTGCAGGAAATCTTTGGTTTACATAATACCTATTGAACTTGAACTAGTTTTGGGGGAAACACTCATTTATGGGAAATTCATGTCTCTACCTTAAAATGGATAAGGAAAAGCTGAGGCTGTACATTAAACAGTTTTGGAGCTATAGTTTTGTTAATAGCTAATATTTTGTACTTAAGTGTGTTAGTCGCTATACACACTTTTGACATACATTATCTTGATCTTCAAAATAGCATCATAAGATGATGCTATAATTATCCCATTTTACATATTGTGAAATTAGAACTTAGAGGTAGATGATAGGCCCAAAGTTACATGACTAGCACATGGCTATCCATTGTTTAGGTGAGGTCTA